GGAAGATCCAGGATATTGTTTAAGACAACTCCGATTGTGTTTGGCTGAAAGAAGAAACTCTTATAGAGCTAGGATGGCTTGAGGGTTATGGGTAAATTATTGGATAATTTTCATTTTTGGGTGAACTATCCCTTGAAGTAAATATGTGTGACCAATAGATATTGATAAGTCATGATGTGACCTCTTTAACTGAATTAAAAGAATGCGAACTTTAAATCTTCAGGATTGCAGCGTTGCAGGAAAGTTTGTCAATTTTTACATTTCGGGTGTATTATATGTTGAATTACATATTTTAAAAAGTCGAGGCAGAGTGTGTCATATCACGACTGTTAGTGTATAATGAATGTTTATTTTATTAAGTTTTCATTTTACTTTTAAAAAATTGAAGGCTCCATGCTGTTTTAATGTATTTTATTATCATCATTAATAATTAACATATTTGATGATTTATTCTCAGATACGGTCCCAACAGTTTTTACTATGGAGCCAAAACTGGTATGATGAACCGTATCGACTACTGAAATTTTGGTATTGTAACAAACCTATTAGCAATGTGCTACAGCTAATGTGTGAAACAGTACAACATCAATCCATACCTTTAGGTAAGAGCCATAGTATTTGGTGACATGAGGACTATCACACTGGCTGAGAACAGTGATCTCCTGTTGGATGTCTTCGATCTCATCTTCTGCTTCCTCGAGGTCGATGGTTTTGATGGCCACTACGTTCTGAGAGCGGCGGTCGATGCCTTTAAACACCTCCCCGAACGAGCCCTTCCCGATGCGCTCCAGTTTAGTGAACAGCTCCTCGGGGTCTGTTCGACTGTTCTGCAATACAAAAGTTACACAGGGTTAGTTTGAGTTGACTAGGTTAGATAAATAGATATAAACCAGTGGCGGCTGCTGGTCTTTTAAAGAGGGGAAGCTTGTTTTCGGCCTACGTCATAAAAATTGTCCATTTATTTATACGTTAGTTACAGAAAATGCTCTGTCACCCTGTCATAGCAACTAGGTGTCTTTTCCAGTGACTTGACCCAAGGAATGTGGTGAATAATTGTGTGAAATATATGATGAAAATTGGCTAGCAATTTTTTCAAAAAGAAAAAGGTTGCAGCAGTTTGTCTTACGACTACAAAATCCGCGAAGGGAATGAGCTCGAATAGCTTCAGCGTCAGTGACTTTTTATAGTACAAAATCACTGTCAATCAAAAGGAGACGCAGTCTTTCGACAGACCCTCCAATCATCACGCAGAAGCCCGGAGGACAGCCCACTCCTTTACTCACCCCAGAGACGCTGAGCGTCCGTGGGCGGGACTTAATCGCAGCATTTATCCAATGACTGTCTAAGTTTCGACACACTGAAAAACCTGTTCAAAGCCGCTCCACTGAAGTCACTGGACGCCGGGCTTCAACGGGGAAATTCACTGTGTGAAAATTCTGTCAGTATTTACTCACCCTCATGTTGTTCCAACCCCATAAGACCTTTGTTCATCTTCGCAACACAAACTAAGATATTTAAGATATTAAGATCGCTCCTGCATACTAGTCCATAGGCTTCTTGAGGGAATGACTCTTGCTGGCATCGAAAAGTCATTGAAGACATCGTTAAAATAGTCCAAGTGACTACAGTGGCTCAATCTTAACTTTATCAAATGACGAGAACACTTTTGTGCGCAAAAACAAACAAAAATAATGACTTTATTTCAACTATTCACTTCCTTCTCCATGGGCCTGTAGTCAGTTAACGTAGTGTGATTGCGTAAAGCTACGTCACACGAAGGCTCACTATTGGCCAACGCTGGTCAGGTGTGTGATGCGTGTGATGTACAATAACAGAAGCTTACGCTATTAAACTAGTAACCTGACTCGAGGCAGAGGGAGACATAAACAAATGGTTGAAATAAAGTCGTTATTTTTGTTGTTTTTTTGCGCACAAAAGTGTTCTCGTCGTTTGATAAACTTAAGATTGAGCAAGTCATTCCCTCAAGAACCCCATTGACTAGTATGGTGGAGCGATCTTAATATCTTAAATATCTTCATTTGTGTTCTGAAGATGAACGAAGGTCTTACGGGGTTGGAACAACATGAGGGTGAGTAAATACTGACAGAATTTTCATTTTTGGGTGAACTAACCCTTTAATGAAGAGAAGTAGCTCCGGCTACAGTGTTCTTCCACAAGACACGTGCAGTTTATTTATTGACGAACGTAGACGTCACGCGCATTGCACATGAGGGTGAAACGCGCCAATTACGAATTCACGAATTAAGGCATATAAAAATGAAAATGTCTCACGAAACAGCGTGTCCCTTCCTACTTCTTTTCAGCGGTTAGATGAGAGTAATCGCTCGACTGAGGAAAAGGAAATTATTATAAAATGCAGAAGGCAAGGAGTGTGAGATTTCTGATTTTTGTTACAACTATAAACTTTGATAACAAAAAATCTGTATTAGCTTATTATAACACTCTAATCTTTTAAAATGTAATGCATACATTTGAATGTTTAATGATTTTTAAAAGATAGAAAGATGATGCTGACAGAACGATAGATAGATAGATAGATAGATAGATAGATAGATAGATAGATAGATAGATAGATAGATAGATAGATAGATAGATAGATAGATATGATTATGATTCAAATAGATAGCTTGTATATAATTCAAATGTAAAATCAAAATCAAATGCTGGTGCGACCAACTGAGAAAGTTGGTAGCACCAGTTCAACCAGTGGAAAAGTTAGTCTGGAGACTTGTTGACCATTAATTTTTTGACATTATAGCTTCCCTTGCAGTCTTAAAGAAATGCCCATTGGTATAAACCAAGACAAATGATAAGTTCACTTGACAATACTTTACATAACAGGTAAGTTCATGGTAATCACATACTTGTGATTTTGGGGATCCAAGTATAGTTAGAAACAAAATTGACTTAAAATATTCCACATCTGAGACAGTGATTTCTCACTTTCAAATCACGCGTTTCACTGCACAGAAAGGATTTGCAGTAGTTTAAATACATCCCTCCCCCAGTTTTATAAAAAATATAAAAGCTAATATATAAGCTTTTATAAAAGCTTAATGGAACAACTAAGATCAAAGGCAAGTCTATAAGTGTTTATAACAGAGAGACTGCCAATGCTACACTAGGTTAGTCAATAATATTCACAGAAACATTTGGGAGGGGAGCTCAGTGAACCGAATACAAACAAGCTGTTAAATATTGCAAGAACAATTATTTCACTGGATGAGGAAGTGAATCCAACTTCCAGTCAATACTGATAACAACATAAGAGGCACATAGTAAAGTTGTGTAGTTGAGTCTGTTTATTAGCTTAAAAGTCTGCATGAAACCAAAAATGAACAATACTAGTCCTGTGTTGTGTTAAACAATACATTTGCAAGTTAATCCACAGAGAAGTAAAATCAAGCCCCGTCCTCTATTTTTCCTCATTAAAAAGTCAGTTTATCTCACTCGAACCACCTTTACCGGAGTCAGTAGTTTTACCTCCATCCCTTACACTATAGGATGTGACAGACTTTGGTTTCAATTGGAAATGCTTCAACGAAGAGCAAAACTGCACTCATCAGGCCATTTCACAAGAGAGGCTTTAAAACTACAGTGGGTTTACAGATTTTATGAAAAGCCCATTTTTGGCCGCAAGGCCAAAAACATACTTTATGCAGGAACATTCGACACAGCTAATTTGTTGTGGTGGTTAAAAATAGTGCCACATTTTATACAATTGTGTGGTAAACAGCATACGGAATTTACAAGAAAGATTATAATGAGAAGTAATGCGTAACTGATTATTAAAGGGTGTTTGATAGGCACATTGGGAAGCACAGCTCACACTGTTTGTTGTTACCTTGGGCGCATGGGTCAACTCAACAGAGCGTGATCTAAAAGTGAGGAAGGCACTTGCGTGGAGGGCCCTGACAGCATGAACAGTGTATGGAACTCCAGCCTCTCCCGCCTAATCAGACTCAGCTTATTCTACGCGACGGTAGAGTCTGTTCTCCTCTATGGCAGTGAATGCTGGACACTGAATCCAACCCTAGAGAAGTCCCTGGACGGGTGCTACACCAGGATGCTCCGTGCAGTGCTTAATATCAGTAAGGGAACGCATGTAACCAACAAAATCCTCTATGAGGGAGTATCAAGAGTGACCGACAAGATTTCTGTGAGGAGAATGAGACTTGCAGGACATTGCCGAAGGCATCGAGAGCTGCCAGCCAGCAAGCTGGTGCTATGGGAACCAACACATGGCCACAGGTCAAGAGGACGCCCCACGCTAACATACGTGGACATACTCAAGAGGGATGCGGGAGCCCAGAGCACCAACGAACTGGCCGGATGCATGGAGAATCGGGATGTATGGAGGCAACGATGGAAGGCTCGTCTGAGGACGACTTAGAGAGATAGGCGCTGGCGATGTACTTGTAAAAACCATAGGCTATATACTGCAGGGCTCGACAATAAGGACTGTATGATTGCCCGGGGTCAGCGTGAAAGACACTCGGGCCAGCGCTGCATCTTCACAGAAGTTGATCATTTGTGTATGTTTTTTAAGCCTGGCCATATTCAAGCGCAGGTAGACACCAAAGTGCCCATGTCTCTCAGTTTGGTACTCGCACCTAGGGCTGGGCGATATGGCCAAAAAAAATTATCACGATAATTTTTTTTATATCAGTCGATAACGATAATTATCACGATATATGTCAAATATTTATTTTTTTCAAGTTTAAAGGCAGATTTTTGCAACAAAGTTGTATAAACCTGAGTGTTAATTGTGTTTTTAAACTACTCTATTTAAATTTATGTTCACTAACAAAACCAGTAACATCTGTTTTTTTTTCCTTTTTTTTTTCTTATGTGACAACCACATTTTTATTTGGTAAAAAGTAATATTCTGACTGTTTGAGTTGCATTCAAATTAACCATTGGTCATTCAGTATCATGCATTTAGATCATGATAACCACAGATAAAACCAGGTATAGCCTATAACTTAGCTCCTCACTATCATGGCATAACTTTATGGTTTCTGTATTTTTTGAATGAAAAACAATAGCCTGACAGCTAAATACATTATTAAATACTGTACTTATATTCCATTAGTCATAATATATTGTCAACATTAATAATATTATACAATTCAATATGTATATCCCACATTTCATGGTGCAGTTAATATTACCAGGCTAACCTTACAGTAAATCCATGGTAGGCTAAATGGATTCAGTATCAATTCAGATTCTGACTGTATCGTTGCACGCAGTGTTTCTACTGTTTGTCAGCGGTGTTTCATCTGCCTTTAAACTGGTTTAAACTTGACATTTGTGTTCTTCGCTGAACTCAAGTGCTTCTCACTGGATCTCGTGAGCAAAACGATCAGAGGCGCGTCTGCGTGAGCTCGCGCTCCGCTCAATGCACTGCCGTTTGGACTTTAAGCCGAGCGGATAAATGCTCCGTGTGGCGCGCGCGGTTTAAATGAGTTTCGTTCCGCTTTTTTGACGCATAAATATTATCGAACATTTATCGACCTCTTGATATCGTTTTATCGAGGAAAATTATATCGCGATAATTATCGTTATCGTTTTATCGCCCAGCCCTACTCGCACCTGTGTGATAAATTGTGTCACACCGAGCGGCAGCATTTGTTTTAAGCATGATTGACACGAAAAACACACAAAACACATCTAAAACGGAAAATCGCTTTGAGGTCATGCGCATCAGGCCATGCCCCTGTGTGATGACAAAACAATCATTTGCGCCTGTCCAATCAGAGCAGAGTAGGCCAATCACAACAGACTGGGACTGGGTCATCTGACCAATCAGAGCAGAGTAGACCAATGACAACAGACTGGGTCATCTGACCAATCAGAGCAGAGTAGACCAATCACAACAGACTGGACCATCTGACCAATCAGAGCAGAGTAGACCAATCACAACAGACTGGACCATCTGACCAATCAGAGCAGAGTAGACCAATCACAACAGACTGGGTCATCTGACCAATCAGAGCAGAGTAGACCAATGACAACAGACTGGGTCATCTGACCAATCAGAGAAGAGTAGACCAATGACAACAGACTGGGCCATCTGACCAATCAGAGCAGAGTAGACCAATCACAACAGACTGGACCATTTGACCAATCAGAGCAGAGTAGACCAATCACAACAGACTGGACCATCTGTCCAATCAGAGCAGAGTAGGCCAATCACAACAGACTGGGACTGGGTCATCTGACCAATCAGAGCAGAGTAGACCAATGACAACAGACTGGGTCATCTGACCAATCAGAGCAGAGTAGACCAATCACAACAGACTGGACCATCTGACCAATCAGAGCAGAGTAGACTAATCACAACAGACTGGACCATCTGACCAATCAGAGAAAAGTAGACCAATCACAACAGACTGGGTCATCTGACCAATCAGAGCAGAGTAGACCAATGACAACAGACTGGGCCATCTGACCAATCAGAGCAGAGTAGACCAATCACAACAGACTGGGTCATCTGACCAATCAGAGCAGAGTAGACCAATCACAACAGACTGGGTCATCTGACCAATCAGAGCAGAGTAGACCAATCACAACAGACTGGGTCATCTGACCAATCAGAGCAGAGTAGACCAATGACAGCACACTGGACCATCTGTCCAATCAGAGCAGAGTAGGCCAATCACAACAGACTGGGACTGGGTCATCTGACCAATCAGAGCAGAGTAGACCAATGACAACAGACTGGGTCATCTGACCAATCAGAGCAGAGTAGACCAATCACAACAGACTGGACCATCTGACCAATCAGAGCAGAGTAGACTAATCACAACAGACTGGACCATCTGACCAATCAGAGAAAAGTAGACCAATCACAACAGACTGGGTCATCTGACCAATCAGAGCAGAGTAGACCAATGACAACAGACTGGGCCATCTGACCAATCAGAGCAGAGTAGACCAATCACAACAGACTGGGTCATCTGACCAATCAGAGCAGAGTAGACCAATCACAACAGACTGGGTCATCTGACCAATCAGAGCAGAGTAGACCAATCACAACAGACTGGGTCATCTGACCAATCAGAGCAGAGTAGACCAATGACAGCACACTGGACCATCTGACCAATCAGAGCAGAGTAGACCAATCACAACAGACTGGGTCATCTGACCAATCAGAGCAGAGTAGACCAATGACAACAGACTGGGCCATCTGACCAATCAGAGCAGAGTAGACCAATCACAACAGACTGGGTAATTTTTTTGACATTTGATGCATGTAAACCTGTTGTAGGAGAATCCAAAACAAAATCAGGAGACTTTAAAGAAGCATATAGGGGCAATTTAATCAGTTAAAAGATTTGCATACCTAATTATCTACTACAATTCAAAGAATATCGTGATACATTTTTTGCTTGTATTATAAATGAAAATAATGTGCAGTCACAGGTTATTAGGTAAAAAGGTTTTCCTTTGAAACTGAACATTGCTCATCTAGTTAGATCTTATATCCAATTAAACCGGGCATCTCCAAAGCGCTTTCTCCCGTTCCCTGCATGTGTGCGTCCCTCTGATAAACCTCTGCTGCGTTGATGACTCGGCTATCTGCATGTTAACAAGCTCCCAGGGGCGGGGTGTGTGTGTGTGTGTGTGTGTGTGTAACCCCACAAGATTTATCAGCCGGACGCATTTTCCTCCACTGACGGCTAGACAAACACAAAGCAGAATCCCTCAGGGCCTGCAGAAATGCATTGTGGATAATGAAGCAAGTGCACGTGGGTCCAAGCAACATGACACAACAAGCTTTGATCATGTTCCTTCAGAGCCGTCTCCCCTTTCCCTGTACCTGTGGAGCTGACTCAGGCGCGAAACCAGTGTGTCAAACACTTCCTCGCAGAACACACCCCGACGCGACGCCTAACACACACTTCTATATTCGTGCTTCAGGAGCGATTAGCACATCATCACCTCTATGAATGGACAATGGCGCTGCCTATTAAAAGGGACGAAACTGCACTTTAAACTTTAGGAAAACTCATAAAACAAACATTCAAAAGGCCAGCCACAAGTGTGTACATTAATGAGCAGAGTTACCCATCAGCTGTGCTGCGTAATGATTAACGATTCAAACCCAGCAACGAACTGTTCTGCCTAGTTGTCATAGCAGAGAAGAGCGTGTTATTCCAGGAGGAATAGCTGTGGTGTTGTTTAACCTTTCTCATCCCGGTTTGCTGTTAGGAAAGGAACAGAGGTGAAGTTGGGGTTTCTCGGTTCTCTTACAAGCGTCTGACGAGTGTGAAGTTGTGACATCGGCCACAACACAGAACCACATTCACACTTCCTGTCTTCCTGTGCTGTAAGTGAGGCTATTTCTCGCTGTCACACACACAGGCTTAAACGATAGGGATTACATCACTGTCCTAGATCATCATACGCAGCTGACGCGCAGAGGCTAGCGATCAGGAGCGGACACTAGCACACCTTTAGGAGGCGGATTCCACGTTACACACAACATCACTAGACCAGGTGTGTATTAGAGATTTACAGATCAGTGATTAATCCATCACTTCAGTCACATATGAATAAGAAAACACATCAGCAAAATTAGTAAAATACTTCTATTCAACTACTATCCTCATTCCAAACATACAGTTGACTGGACAAACCGCTCTCGCAAATAATTACATTTTAGATACATTTTGTTTGTCCTATGAGTATGACAAACAAAAGCGCTATGTAAATGACTCATTCGTTTCATGCAAATATAATTATAACAATATATAATAATAGTAAATAATAAAAAAAAAAAAATATATATATACCAGAGCCCGACATTAAGCCAAATCGGTCATTCACCTGTCGGAGTAAAAATTAGCTTTTCGGGGGGAAAAAAGAAGATTTTTTTGTGTTGTAAATTTGTAAAAAAAAAAAAAATTTGTAATATTAGACAAATTTACATCTGCATATTCATGACATTTTTACCTTTATTAAGCGCATTTTTCCCCTAATCTTATTAAATTTATGCTTTATCTTTCATTTTCAATTCTTAAATTCAATAATCAATAAGTTTAATTAGAATAATAAGACGACACTAAATAATTGACACTAAATCATTTACATTCAATAATATCATGAGATTGAGTTATTACCATCAGCGTCGAAACATTATATATTATTATTCATTATCAATCGCCGCTTATGTTAAATGAATGCAGAATGTTATCAAGTTTGGACGTTTCACTAGTTATTTATTTGTTATTGGCGTTTTAATATGGGTAATTGACCGGTCGGGCAAGTCAAATTCTCTTCACTTGCCCCTTCAAAAAATAATGTTGAGCTCTGTGTAATATATATAATATATATATAATATATTATATAAGTTAAGTGTGAATGTCATGTAAAGACTAATGCTTGGAGGTTTCACCATCACAACTTGTCCTTGGTCTTTAAAAAGGACTGATATTAATTTAGTGATCAAATTTAGCACTTAGGAAATATGATGGAAAATAATTTAGGAAATATGATGATGATTTGTAATTATCATTTAAATCGGACTACTTTTCAAATAGTCATAAATCAAAATCTCTAGAGAATGTTATGGGGTTTCTTATCAAAATATGACTTTCTGTTATAAAACATTGGATTGATTTCATACATGAACACTGTAAGAAGACCAGCAACCACTAACAGCAGGTTTATCAGGCATTCTGGGAGACAAGTGAAATTATGTATCAATATTACTATCAAATATTAGATATCATTATGGAAATGTTACCAATTATTACTCCAATTATTACACTTCTTTTCTTCATTATATTTTCCCTCAAGAACACATTAACATAGGTAAATTGAATTGAATAGAAAACCCATGTATGGCCCATTTTACCCAGATATTGCATAAAGTAAAATATTACATATTCATTCCATTATATCTAGTTGAGAATCATCTTTATACAAAGTTTGGTTAAAAAAAATCTGAAACCTAAAAATTGATTGCTGAATGAAAAAAGAAAAAATCGTTTTTGTTATTGCCTACATGTAATTTCAAGTCTTTTTATTTGTTTAACAAATGTATCCTGGTGTCACTAAAGAGGACAGTACAACATATGAATAAAATATATATTTTAAAAAATGCTCTATTGTCCTTACGCTCTTAACAAATGTAATGACATAAATATAAATATTAAATAAATAAAAATTCCCCCTCTGGGTTATTCATATACCATGGTATTTATAGCACTTTAATGAATTTAAAAGAGTGCCATGGTACATGGAGAAAGGCATTGCCTTTACATTACATGTCAACACCAACAAAAATATGGTAATATGATAGTAAGTTACTTTTAGCTAGTGTTTATATTAGGACTGAATAAAAACAGCAAGTGTGTCTTGAACTGACAGACACTAGTGTGAAGGTGTGCTAAAGATGATTCATGAGTGTATTAAAGTCCGAAAGCGGATTAGCCGATGATGAAGAAGATGATGATGATGGCCTGTCGTTACCTTTCCACACCAACTCACCTGCATTCCAGGAACTTGAACAGCTACCGGTGACTGAGCCATCTCCACCCGTCCACAGGCAAACTACACACCAGCAAACTCTCGCAGAGACTCTTACAGCTCGCTTCCTCACACTACTCCGTATTAAATTAGATATTTACACAATATTTACACTGTTCGCGAAACTCCTCGCGACGCCAAACTCTTGAGCTAGCTGCGCTCTGCTAGCTAATAAAGTCGACACTCGGTAACCATGATTCCTTCGTAAAGTGGACTTTTTTGTTGTTTATATTAGATCCAGACGGTCGTCGACGGCTTGTTAGGGGCTTTTGGTGAGAGTTTGTGCAGTTTGTTCTTCAGGAGATCTTCTTTGACGCCATGACTCGCGCTGCGCTCGCGAAAGTTGTTTTGTGCTTCAGTTCTGGCTGTTGGGTGGAGTCGCGCGCTCCAACCGCGCGCGCACACAGACACTGCGTCACTAATGCTAAGCTTTCGTCACACACATTTCTTCACATACACACACAGCGCGCGCGTTTGCTAGATAAATTAAAAGATTTAAGCAGTGAGTCTACTTCAACCAAAAAATGTGAGAAAATAGGGAGTGATCCCATAAATTTCTGTTTATGGATGAAAAATTTACCAAATAAAATAAAAAAATTAAAAATGTATTCTTTGGATGTGTGGGCATCAGTATAATAACAAATAATATCTTTCAAATTAAAGGAATGTGCATGGATGGGGGTTTTATTTAAATGAGAAAACATACTAGACCAAAATATATGAACAATTATTTTGTATTGGATCTGATAGTTAAGATTAAACAGCTTTATATCATACATTGCTTATTCTATTTGTATTATTATTTTTTATTTTTTTATTTTATGTTTTATAATTGTGTAATGTAATATAATTATTTTTATGGCACTTGATTTGGAACTATTCTGTATAATTTGTCTTTGCTTTACCTCTTTTATGTTCTCCTGAATGTATTTGTAAATGTATATGTTTCTTCAATAAAAAAAAAAAAAAAAAAAAAAAAAAAAAAAAAAAAAAAAAAAACAGCGCGCGCGTTTGTTTCACTAGTGACTTCCATTGACTTTATAAATAAGGTTAATAATATGTTCTATGGCCTAATCCATAAACACAACCCTCAAGACAAGTTTGCACTTGTCATAAACAAATGTTTGGGTCAAATGTAGACAAATCCAGCGGTTGGATTTGTCCATAGTTGACCCGAACCAATAAATATTTAGATTTTTTTGAGTGTATGGCAAGCGTAATTATCATTCATTACAGGGATGTGATTTTTTTTTAATATCAGGAATTACATTTCCACAAGTAAAAATATTAATTATTGATAATCAATAATGATGTTTTCACTCGCAGGAATAGCCTACTAAATCTTATGGAAGCTTGTTTCCGCCACTGAATAAAAAAATAATAATAAATGCAATTTTTATCTCACATTTGCGAGATATGAAGTCATAGTTGTGTGTTATAAAGTCAGAATCACGAGATATAAAGTCAGAATTGTGAGATATAAAGTCAGAATTGTGAGATATAAAGTCAGAATTGTGTGATATAAAGTCAGAATTGTGAGATATAAAGTCATAATAATGTGATATAAAGTCAGAATTGTGAGATATAAAGTCAGAATTGTGTGATATAAAGTCAGAATTGCGAGATATTAAGTCAGAATTGTGTGATATAAAGTCAGAATTGCGAGATATAAAGTCAGAATTGCGAGATATGAAGTCAGAATTGTGTGATATAAAGTCAGAATTGTGTGATATAAAGTCAGAATTGCGAGATATAAAGTCAGAATTGTGAGATATAAAGTCAGAATTGCGAGATATAAACTATTCTGAGAGGGAAAAGTATTTTTCCCAGCTTTATAATGGGAGTGATTATCATAACACCATCTTTTATTATGTTTGTAAAGATATTAAAATATTCCATGACTCATTGACTTCAATCACTACAAATACGAAGTGCATAAAAACATCTCATATTTTGAAACAAATAGTTATTTTACACTGTGCAGTGTAAGCTATGTTATATGTTTCCCCAATGTCTGTATGATGTTAAATGTCAATTGTAAGCTTTTGTAAATATTGAATGAAAAAAAAAGAAATAAAAATGGGAATGATTAGCGCCCGAGTTTTTAAATCTAAAAAAAACCCGCATCCGTAAAACTAATCCATTGTTTTAGTAAAGGCCTTCTGAAGCCATGGGTTTTTATAAGAAAAAATATCCATATTTAAAACTTTATGAACTATAATCAATGGCTTCCAGTAACGAGAGAGCCGGCTGAAGGTGAAGGGTGACCTCTGACCCCACGGATGACGTGATTTAGGTGAGAACTGACTTTTTATTTTAAGGTGAACTATTCCTTTAACCTCTTCGAATCATGCCCTCAATTTGTGTGTGTGTGTGTGTGTGTTTGTGTAGCAAGTGCCAGTAAAAGTCAGTTTCGTACCATTCTGATGAAGTTACACCTTTAATTGGGACAGGACAAATGTTGTTGTTGTTCAGGTCTTATAGAGCATATGAAATTAAAAGAGAAACTCCTCATCAAGTCACATGACCCGAGCAGAATGAGTTTTAACCATAGACATCCATAATAAAGGGTAGATGTGTTATGGCGGAGTCTCTATCGTCATCACGGCGGCCATCTTGTCACAGGCAAGCTTTCTGGCGTAAGATGAGTGGTCAGCACGAACACAAATACTCTCATCTCGTTGAAATCTTGACGGATTTACAAACGGTTTGGTTTCTTACAAACGTTATTAACCTGGCTATAATTCTGGATGATTATTTATTGATACACTTATTATTAATAATGAAAACCGTTTGAAAATCAGTAGAAAATTGAGAAAGTTATGTTAATTTAAAAAGTACACGCACCATTAAAACACAATGTTACGAGTGAGCAAGCTGACTGTAGCAAGATGGCCGCCAGTGTGGACGTCGACCTCCATTGGCCAGCAGCGCGGACAAGACATCTAGCCTTTATTATGGGTATATATGGTTTTAACCCTCCTATTGCATTCTGGTCCGTTCTGACCAGGAAGAGGAACATGCATAAGTTTTAGTATGAAGATGAAATTGTGTGTGTGTTAAAACTGTCAAAATACACTTTTTTTTTTTGCAGATTTTTAAATCAAAACAATGTAAGAGATATAATCATTTAATCTAAAGTGTTACACATGTTTGCGTCCGCGTCTGTTCTGACCCGAAGGTGAACTGTGGATGAACATGAAATTATATGGATTTGTCCCAAATCACATTTAGCTTTTCCAACACTTGTCACTCACACACATTTTCTTCCCACTGTCCTAATGCATTTGAGCAAAAGTTCACAGACCTAAGAGTCTAAATGTGAAAAAGAGGGTTTGGAAAAGAAAAGTCCACATGCCTCCCGTTGATGACCCATCGCAACATCATTTCTTCATATTAGAGTAAACATGTATGCAAGTAATACTGATGATGTTTTGTTAGAAAAATACACTTACACTGTTTTGATCAGGCATAAGTTTCAAATTAATTTAAATTCAATGGAGTTCATAGTGGTAATTCTCATTTGTTCATATAAATGTAATGATATATTGAAATAAGACTTTTTAAAACTAAAATTCTAAAACTAACCATGAGCAACACATTTGTAATTGTATTTGTTAATCTTTGTTAATGTTAGTTAATACAAATATAGCCGTTCATTGTTAGTTCATAGTTTTAATTTAATAAATGTTGTATTCTTCCAGTTCATTATTAGCTCATGTTAAGTAAAGTGTTCCCAAAATGTAATTTTTTAATTAATAAAAAGGTAGATGGTAATAAAAAGGTAACATTAAAAACTTCTGTGCGTCCACTCATTAATGAGAAGTTGCTGATTAGACACAATATGGTTTTAATTGAAAAATATGAAGTTATGCCTGTTTTTTAAGCTTCAGTGAACGCAAAAGGTGTACAGTTTTGTAATGGATCACATTAAAAATCTGAATAAAGCACAAATGAGATATAAAAACACAAATATGACCATGGATAATTCGTAATAAACAGTGGAGAGATTCACACAGCACTTGCATGACAAACCGTAGATTTTAATGTGAGGCACTGTCAGGAGCTGCGATTCGTCTCGCCTTTACACAGGAGGAATGGACACAACGAGCGGTGGAAGTTTACAGTGGGGAAAACAGCCTTAAAACCGGGATATTGGTCCACATCTACAAAAATAATAAAGCATTTCTATGGCTATTCACTCAGACCAGCTGAGCAACAACGGACTTAAGCGCTCGTCTGCTTGCCACGGAGTTCATATCGTCTCGAAACACACTGCAACCGGTCAACACTTACACAGGTATTAAAGGAGGGATTGAAACCGTTACTGTGACAGAAATGACATGACAGGGAATATACAATGAGAACGGTATGGAAGCTTGTTTCCACCACTGAATTAAAAAATAATAATAAAAATTGCAACTTTTTATCTCACAAATGCGACTTATGAAGTCAGAATTATGAGAAATAAAGTCATAAATGCGATATAAAGTTGCAACTCTGAGAAATAATGCAAGAAAAAAAAACTTTATCTCACAACTCTGACTTTTTTTCTCTCAGTGAGACATAAAATTGCAATTTTGATTTATCAGGCCAATTCTAATGAAAAAAGACTGACTTTCCCGCCTCAGAATAGTTTATATCTCACAATTTCACAATCTGACTTAATAACACGCAATTATGACTTTATATCATGTATTTCTGACTTTATAACATGCAATTATGTCTTTATATTATGTATTTCTGAATTAATAACACAATTATGACATTATATCATGTATTTCTGACTTAACACGCAATTATGACTTTATATCATGTATTTTTGAGTTTATAACACGCAATTATGACTTTATATCATGTATTTCTGACTTTATAACATGCAATTATGATTTTATAACATGTTTTTCTGACTTTATAACACGCAATTGCGACTTTATATCAATTCTAACTTTACAACACGCAATTCTGACTTTATATCTCGCAATTGTGAGAAAAATAACCAATTACCTTTTTTATTTTTCATTGTGTGGCGGAAACAAGCTTCGATTGTTCAGCTAGTGCTAGGGTTAACCGAATCCAAAATAAAGGTGTGTTTACATAATGTGTATAATTATTTTGTATACATAAATAAACACACAGAAAAGAAAAATGTGTTATTTATACATAAAATATGTATATATAAATTATATATACAATATGCAAATGTATGTGTGTGTATTTATATAAACAAAATAATTATACACAGTACACACACATATTACGTAAACTTTTATTTTGGATGCGACGAATCGTCGCAGAGCCCTAGCTAGTGGTTGCATTTTCAATAAAGGTGACCTACTTTTTATTTTGCACTCTCGCGATTACACATGAGTGTAAATTATGAAAGTCCAGAAGTTTCTGCGTCGAAAACGTTTCCGTTGAAGAAATCCAGCTTCAGATTCACGTCACCCAGCGCCTTTTCGATCACAGCGGAAACGAGGAGCGGTCGTGCGTTCTCAAGGGAATAACCGAATCATAGACAGACGAAAGACACCTGTTAAAAAAAGCGAAACACTTGGCGTATTTACTGACGAGACAATCTCGTGGCGAGTCCTTCGAGTTGTCAGGGAAGTTTGAACGATCCTCTCCTGAAGGCAACGGGTCCCATCAACTACTATACAGACACAAGGCTATGGTTTACAGAACGATTAGGAGCCGGTGCCCGAGCTCGGCTCAGACACATGAAGAGCCTCATCTTAATGGGACGTCCTGAAGTGCATAGTGCTATACTGTACATGAACAGTCCAACGAGGAGCGAGGCTTGAACATTAGTCTGGCATGTCGATGCACAGTTTGGGTGGCGGCACGAAGTATTTGCCAGGACTCTGGGTAATCACCACGCCCGTCTTCTTGCGAAACATGGGAGGGATTTTGGGCACCTCGTGGATGGGAAGCTCCTCGGACACCTCGGACTCCTCGTGGTGCAAGTCATAGGATATGTTGCCGTACTCCCTCAGGAAGGGGAAGAGCTCGAGCAGGAACTGGCAGAAGTCTTTGCGAATGCCGAACCACCCTGGAGGAACATCAGAGACAAGTCAACACTGGAACACGCGTCGTTACATACAACTCACTGCAAATACACAACATGCTCTGTTTCTGCTATTACAGTGTGAACACGCTAGATCAAATTACATTGACAACCATTTTTGGGACACACACACTTAACCCTACGCTGGAAGATTGTGTAAAAAATATATAGAATATGGTGCAAAAGTTCATTTATTTCAGGAATTCAACTTAAAAGGTGAAACTAATATATTATAATTATATTTTTATGATTATGGATTATTTTCACAATATTCTAATTTTGAATTTTCACATCTGTATGCCATAATCATCAAAATTATAACAAATAAAGGCTTGAAATATCTTTAGAGTTGAATTACTGACATAAACAAACTTTTGCACCATATTCTAATTTTTCCAGTTTCGCATGTATCGTGCATTTCAGTAATACATGTGTTTTCTTGGACTATCCTGGAAGATCATTGATATTGGGAATGATGTGCGGACACCTGATGTGAAGCATGCTTGTCAAGTCATTATAAAGAATAAGCAGCAAGCAGATGTAAGTTACACACGTCACGTACAGTGATTGCCCCCTTTTTGGCCAAACGTGGTCACCATCAGAGTCACCAAGGAAACCCAGAGAGGAACAAACACCGGGACGTAGCTGGAGTTGTAATGGCCGTCCAGCTTGTGAACGAGGAGAATCTGAAAACAACACAAACAACTGAAGGACTGAAGAATAGTTCACACAAAATTAACATTCCCACCCTAACGTCATTCAAAACTATGATTCAGTCGTAGCGTAGGTAATCATATTATAATCAGGGGTGCACATAACTGGTACGTAGGTACGCATGCGCAACATAAATCAGGAATGCGTAATGCCACTTGAGTTACGTACTTAACCCTTGTGCATCCTGATGGACATTTTTGTCCTTTTCAGTTTTGTTTTTTTGATCACTTTGCCTGTGTTAAAGCTAACGGCAAAAAACTTGGCACAGGTGTGTATTTTTATTTGAATTTTACTATTTCACCGTCATTTTCTTAAAAAAATATTTTTTGCATTAGGTACAAAAAAATACTCCCTCTCAGCCCCTTTTGGACAAAAATGTCCCCATTGAAACCCATTAAAACTGCCATTTTTAATCCCCGGTTCAGTTAACTATAAAATTATGCAATCTTTGTTAAGAGGCTTTCATTCTGATGGTAAGGCTTCAAAATTTTATTTTTTACTATTTTTTATCAGATGGTGTCATTTTTTTTTAAGTTTGGCCTATAAAACAAATATCGCTTTATTCCTGTTTTCTGCTTCGGCATACTATAGAGCCAACTGGATAAATTATGCAACGATATTTGTGTGGGTGTGTTGGTATGGATGTCAGAGTGTGTTTAGTATGTGTGTTATAAAAAAATATGTGTGTGTTTGTCAGACTGAGAGAGAAAAACTGCAAATTCTAATCCAATCACTGTGAGCTCCAGTGGGGTTTTGCTGCCACCCAATGGGGAAAATATGTTACTACGCCCAAACAAACTGTTACCGAAAGCTCATTTTTTGAGATATCATCCTCAAATTTGAAACACAACCTATTTAGATTTATGGCTTTGATTTTATTGTAGTTTTGAGTTCAACCTGATTTAAAAAAATATATATTTTATATAAAATATTATTTTATAAATAATTTTCATAAACTTATACCTATATAACTTTTTTTGGATTTACTTATTATTATTTTTTTACTTCAGCAATAATCTGCAAAGGGTCTTCTTTAAAATGATACCAAATTTAAGTCTGTGCTCCAAAGCGTCTCATTTTTATGACAGTTTTTTGACATGGACATTTTTGTCCTCTTTTTACCTATGTGTAACTTTTTTTAATTAATGCACAAGGGTTAAAGGGTAACTGTCGGCAAAATGCAACCTAGGGTCTTTTCGTTAATCTACCCGAGGCAAACTTGCGTTTAAAAGCATAATTAGAATGGAAACGCCACTTTTAAGTTTGACCCTATTTTCGTTTTCGGTCAAATTGCCTTTTGAGTGGTAGAGCTAGGGGCACGTATATGAAGCAGCAAAAATCGCTATTTTTAAAACACTAAGAAGGCTCGACACTTCATGAAACTTTACTCGAAGTATCACCAGGGGCTCTACACATGAACTCGAGCATTGAGAACATTGTTTGTGTACACAGAGTTTACTAAAAAAGAAAGATTTTGAACAACTCACTGTGTCTGTGTCTGCCGGAACAGTAACACCGCCATTGTGTCAGTCAAAAATAGTCGATCGGCGAATGCGAATGATTCTGAATTTTAGTATTGTTTCTTATATGAGGATCCTTTTTCAAATACAAGGTCAATATTGCTTTTCACTTACGACACAACAAATTATCCGTGATTTTTTTATGGAACTGAGCTTTAGGAGCTTTCCATCTCGACTCTCCTCCCTGTTAAGTTGCATTCGGAGATCGACTATTTTTGACTGATAAATAACGGCTGACAGTGAGTTGTTCAAAATCCTCACCACGAAGTCTAATGATGGAAACTAACTCAAATTTCACTTCAAAATGAATTCTTTCTGAAGATGTGTTGTGTCATTTAGGTCGTTTTATTCACGCTGATGTAAATTTAAGTGTTTGTTTTTTAAAATAAGCCTGGTCGGTAACACTTTATTTATCCGTGTCCGTGATACAGAGTAATTACTCCGTAGATGACATTTTAATAACATGTAACAAAATGTAATTAACATGTAACTAAGTTATGGTTACAGATAGTAATTACACTCATGTAATAGGCAGCTGCTGTTACACATGTAACAGGCCGAGTCGGAACCAGTGTTGGGTAAGTTACTCTAAAAAAGTAACTAATTACTACTTACTAATTACCTCTTCAACAGTGTAATTAGATTACTGTACTAATTACTCTCTTTAAAAAGTATTTAATTACTTTTAATTACTTTCAAAATCCCATATCAATCTCAACCAGCTGAATAATACAAGGATAGACATGAATCTGTTTTAATTCTTTCAAATAAATACTATAAAATTGCATGAATTATCCTTAAACTGACCAAGGTGGAGAAGGTTACATTATAAAAACATACTTTTTAGCATCAGACAATACATTTTGATGTTAAACCCACTATTGTTTTATGTCTGATCTCATGATATTTCAATCTTTTTTCATACATATTTTACAATAATTCATACGAATTTGTACGAGTGCGGTCGTAATATTTAGACACCTCATAAAATGCATACGAATCGCTGTGAGATCGGATTGATCCATACACAGTATTTACCTCAATTACATCAGAAGTAACTGTAATTAAATGAAGAGTAATCCCTTACTTTACATTTTCAAGGGAAAAGTAATTAAATTACAGTAACTAATTACTTACACCCAACACTGCTCGCAATATTCATTATCGATATCGCAGTATCACCTTTTTGTCAATATCGTGCACCCCTACTCAAACAGGAAATAAATCAGAATCCACATCATTTTCAGTGGATCTCTGGATGTTTTTAGCTTACTTATTGCATAAACACAACCAAAGTAAAGGAGTCAAACCTCGAAGGTGAGCAGCGGCACAACGATGGTCATCCAGCTGATGGCCATGGTGATGTGTGTGCGGCGCTGCTCTGCGATCACGTCCATGGAGCGCAGGAACAGCACAGACCAGACGATGTAGTACAGCACCACCAGACACAGGAACGACATGAGGATCCACAGCGGCACACACACCACCTGAGAACAGGAGCACCAGGGTCACACACCCATGATGGGCCAAAACTCTGACCGGTGTACCGGATACCGCTGGTTATTTTTGTTATGATATGAATTTATAAAATACCGTAATACCAGTGTATGTGGCGTTGGGAACGCGACACTGTTCGAGAGGGTCTTTTCACTGGTGATTTGTTCAATTGATTTCAAAGGTCAATTGTTAAATCAATGTTTATATTAATTAGCTTGATAAAATCAACAATGTTTTTATTGTAGATGTATTGAGGGTCATTTGTTTTGAGTGGATATATTCAGCAATTTTACATTCATTTTGGTTGCTTCACGACCAATTTCACAGATCCGTGCGACTGAAACTAGTGGCCGAAATGCGTAAGCGAATGTCGTGTGCAGTTAAAAAGCGGCTTAAGTCAATCTACTGCAGTATCTCCTCTCTCAATCAGTAGAAAATGTGGTTAACACCCAATCAGAAAAAAAAAATTCTGTCATATACTGTCAACTAGGGATGGGTATCGTTAAGGTTTTATCGGTATTACTACTCTTACCGATACCGCTTATCGATCCGGTACTTTAACGGTATTCTTATCGGTTCTTTTTGGTGTTTTTTTTTTTTTTTTTTTTAAGAATTAAGAACATAACTAAACTCTATATTTTGAAATGTAAAATAGAAAAAGCAAAACGAAGAAAAATATATTTTTGTTATGCAGCAGTGTGCAGGCTTTTTTTGTTTTATATACAAAAAGGACACATAAGAAAAAAAAAAAACAAGTACAAACACAAGAATACAATTAATCAAAGATACAAATTATATACAAAAGTGCTTTAATTTCAGGAAGGTCTGCTAACATATCTTTTCAGGTAATTGTTTCTGTCTGAAAAGAAACCTAATTTAGTAATCAAATATAAAATAGCACTGTATAGTTTATCATAGATAGATTAATGCTTATTAAATCTAAAATTACTCATTCAAAATCTGTGAGTGATTTTTTCTGCCTTTTGTTGTTTGATTTGCATTAATGGCTGAATCGTCAGCAGGTTTAGGCTATTGGACTGCTGCCCCTTTAAGACCGAGAGCAAATCTAATCGGTAACTGAAGCACCGTCATTTTCTCCCTATTATTTACGTCCATTTAAGACATAATTGTGTTTAAGTGAATAAACTGTGTTTAAGTAAATCTCAGAGCTGGTCATTTTGACATTTTTATGTATATTTGATAGTTAAGGACACACGAAGCCCAAAGTATAGGCTACTTTTCTTGTCTCGTTGCAGTCCGTTTCGGAGGGCGCACCTCCTTGTGAACGGCGTCTCTTGCGCAGGCTTTTGTGTTTTTAATAGCCATTTTTTGATCTTGCAACAGTAGAAGACAGCATTTTGCAACAATCGCCGATCGTGCTGATTCTGACGGTTACGTTTGGGTTTTAGGAAGAACTGACAGCGCTCCGCAGTGCTGTGAAGTAAAGGAAGTTAATCTGGACAGATCGTTTCGTTTTTTAACGGTTTTATCTCAAATATCTTCTTTTTATAATCTTTGGAAGCCGAAATACAAAATATATTAGGATAATATCCCAGATCTAAAGTGTAACCACGTTGAATGTTTAGTTCTGTCCTCATTGTCACTCATTAAGCAGGGCTGTGGTGTTGCGTGAGAGATCGCTCTCTCTTCTCTCTCTCTCTCTCTCTTCTGAACTGCGAATTTAAAATTTGCATCACAGACAAATGGTTTAATTAAAATATAGTTTATATATAGAAAAGGCTGGCGATATAAACATGTTCAAGATAACGTCTTTATAGGAATGATAAATAATATCTCCAGTACCGACAGCAGAACCGATAACGTCCGAGCTTATCGATACAGCGGTCTTTCAATATTCAGTACCCATCCCTACTGTCAACACATGTATCATTTTGATATAAATGTTTGGTCACTACACAGGAGACTCTGGGGTCAATGACTGGTGTCGGTGTGCTTACTCACCAACCAGGGCCAGCTGATGATCCTATCCAGTCTCAGAGCTATGAAGATGAACTGAAGGATATTCACAGAGCACAGGATCTCCAGCTGAGTGAGAGAACACATTTCTATTAATGCGTAGGGATAGGGAAGATATGTGGGTGAATCTGACAAGAATCAAATTTGGGTCATAATTCACCAAAAATATTTTTATAAAAGGAAACGGAGCTCGACTTTTGTGACAATATTTTGCAGATTTTTTTCTTCATCGTAATTCAAAATAATAATAATACATTTTTTGTAAAGTTATTTATCATTTAGTTTAGTTTTAAAATAAACCATATACAGTCAGAAACTAATCAAAACTGTACTGAATTCGGTCGTAGTAATTAGATTTATGCATAATTTAGCCTCTTCCTCCTCGCGGGTGTGCTTTATGCTATTGTGGAGCTGAACAACTGTTAATGTGTTACGCTAACACACCGGACACCTTCCGCCTGTTGTTCTGTGTGCTGTTGTGGAGCTGAATAACTTATTAAATGTCTGGGGAATACATTTCAAAATAAATGTGAGTTATAGTCCAGTGCGGCTATGTTTTTTTCTTCTTCATGATGCATTTTTTGACTGGAAAATACAGTAATCTGACTATTGTAAATAGTGTCGTCTGACTCTGAACACGGCATTAGACAGATCTTTCCCGGCTCATACCTCGAGCGAGCGGTCGTGTCTGAATCCCCACACACACGCGGCCACGGAGACGGGCGAGACGAAGAAGAGCGGCATGAAGACGAGGAGCCAGAAGTGTGTGCCTCGCTGCACACGGTCACACACCAGCACCTCGAAGGTGAGCAGGAGCAAGTGGATCCCCACAGCGATCAGCATGGCTTTAAACTCCACACACGTCTCGCCTTCAGCCCTGAGGACGACACCGACCGCATGATACAACACACTGACAAAGGCACGGTTACAGCTGCTGTTAAAGGAGTAGCTCACTTTAAAATTAGACCATGATTTAGGCTACTCTCCCTCATGCCATCCTATAGGTGTATATGACGAACACAATCAGAGTTATATTAAAAAAATGTCCTGGCTCTTCCAAGCTTTATAATGACAGTGAATGGATGTTTCTGGTTTCTGGTCACTTTTATGATGGATAGATGCACTTTTATGACGGATAGATGCACTTTTATGACGGATAGATGCACTTTTATGACGGATAGATGCACTTTTATGACGGATGGATGCACTATTATGACGGATAGATTAACTTTTATGATGGATAGATGCACTTTTATGTTGGATGGATGCACTTTTATGATGGATAGATGCACTTTTATGATGGATAGATTAACTTTTATGATGGATAGATGCACTTTTATGACGGATAGATGCACTTTTATGACGGATGGATGCACTATTATGATGGATAGATGCACTTTTATGACGGATGGATGCACTTTTATGACGGATAGATTAACTTTTATGATGGATAGATGCACTTTTATGTTGGATGGATGCACTTTTATGATGGATAGATGCACTTTTATGATGGATAGATTAACTTTTATGATGGATAGATGCACTTTTATGTTGGATGGATGCACTTTTATGATGGATAGATGCACTTTTATGACGGATGGATGCACTTTTATGATGGATAGATGCACTTTTATGATGGATGGATGCACTTTTATGATGGATGGATGCACTTTTATGATGGATAGATACACTTTTATGATGGATGGATGCACTTTTATGATGGATAGATGCACTTTTATGATGGATGGATGCACTTTTATGATGGATGGATGCACTTTTATGATGGATGGATGCACTTTTATGATGGATGGATGCACTTTTATGATGGATAGATGCACTTTTATGATGGATAGATGCACTTTTATGTTGGATGGATGCACTTTTATGATGGATAGATGCAGTTTTATGATGGATAGATTAACTTTTATGATGGATAGATGCACTTTTATGTTGGATGGATGCACTTTTATGACGGATAGATGCACTTTTATGACGGATAGATGCACTTTTATGATGGATAGATGCACTTTTATGACGGATAGATGCACTTTTATGATGGATAGATGCACTTTTATGATGGATAGATGCACTTTTATGATGGATAGATGCACTTTTATAATGTATTATAGATGCACTTTTATGGACTTCAAAACAGGAACGGCCATTCACTGTCATTATAAAGCTTAGAAGAAGCCATGAAATTTTTAATATAACTCCGATTGTATTCGTCTGAAAGAAGATCGTCATATTATATAGCTACACATATGTGATGGCTTTTGGAGAGTAAATCATGGGGTAATTTTCTTTTTAATGTAAACTCTCACTTTAAGCGAACCTGTACAAACACACACAACAATAAGCAAACCTGTACAAACACACACACAACAATTAGTATTCCACATGATATTCTTCCATGATCTAAAGAGGCCTAGTTGTGCTACTGATAGGCTGATTCTGACCTGTACTGTGGGTTGTGAGCCCAAACCCCAGTGCCCACCGAAGCCCCGATGATGACCATGAGTTTCCAGAGCCAGATGGGCGCAAACACGGCCCAGTAACTCCACTGGATGATGCCATCCAACCTCAGGGACAACAGCACTGAGAAGAGCAGCAGACAGGCGTAGATCAGGAACTTACTGCAGGGAGAGGAGAACAACAACACACGGATGTGTCAGACTGACATACACACTTCTGTCATCAAGATCACGACACGGGCCTGAGTCTGACGGACTGAGGGAGAACACACGGCACAAGAGGAGCTTTAAACAACTTAAGGGGAACTTATTATGGTCAAGAGTTGAATGATAAAGAGAGAAATCAAAACAGGCAGGCCTGCGCGGTGAACATTAGCAGCTATGCTAACAAGCGATTTCAAAACACAGTTTCATTGTACACCAATCACACACACATCTCACCTAGGGTTGAAATCTTGAAAAACGCCTCTGAGATTCATGGTTTCCTCTTCAGACCATAGTTTAATGAGGTAAAGTGGAAAGGAAAGGCTGGTTTACTGACTGACTGGCACTCGCTCGTTCACATCAGAGCAGACGATGCGAGCGAGACCAAACACGGTGACGTCACGCGCCTGGCTCCGCCCACCGGCGCGCTGATGTTTACATTTCACGTGATTATAATGAATAAACAAACCGGTTTCTGTAGATTACCATTGTTATGTTGAGGAAACTCTACATTTATGTTTAATTTAGTTACTATTTTACATAAAAGGACATTTTTGTGAATTATGATTATGAAAACAATGTTACAAAGGTCTTCAATACATTGTTAATTTATTTATATTGCTGGCAATATTTGATATACATAAACAGAAATGCTTAAATTCACCACGAGTGTTATTTGACGTGAAATTTAATGATTTTATTCTCTGAAATTGTTAAAAAATAAAAAGTCCTCTGAGTGTTTTTAATTACAATATAAATTTACCAATTATCTTTTATAGCAGATTTTTAAGCTCATGGTTTTATTATAACTCTAGAAAATTTGTATAAGTTTTGTGGTGGTTACAAATGGTTAATTAGTGTTTTTTTTTTTTTCTTTTAGTTTCAGAGTTTCTGTAGATTTTATGAAGGTAAGACCAAGTAACGAAAATGTAAGAAATAAATTGGAGGGAACACAATACATCAACATGTTCTCCAAATGTAAATGTTTAAGGAGAAACACTTCATTGTTTGACATCTGTTAATTTTTAATTCATTTACTAAAAGAAGCAGCTTGAATCGTTTCACTCAGAAACACAAGAATATGGAAATATTGTTTACAGCACCTTCTGTTCAAACTTCAAAAAAGTATTTCGGTATTTCTCGTTTTCCAGTACAAATATCTAAAGATTCTTAAATCAAGATACATTTATAGATGTAAAATGACATTAAATATGAAGTATTTTGTTCTGAAAGTTAATCAAAATGAGGTTAATGACTAAAACAAATACAAACATCTGCAGTCAGGCTCCGGAAAATCAGCCTAATTTAGAAGTTTTGACAGATATTTGTTCTTCTTTAAGCATAAACTCACATTTTTAAAGACTTAATTTTACAATTACTTACATTTTTTGCAATGTGTTCAACATTTAATGCCATGAGTTTATAAATGTAAGACATTCTGCTCTGATTTTAACAGGGGCAAATTAAGACTTTAAAGACTCGCTGGTTTTATTTATAGTAAAATCATGGTTAACTTTCATATGGGTTTCCAAAGAAACACAAGAAATGACATTTTTAGCACATAAAAGGTCTATTTACATTAATATACACCAAAGGAAAATTAAGCGACAGAAAGAATGTATGGTTGTAGTTTGAAGCGTGGTTATACGCAATCAGCTCCTCTAGAAACAATCATCAGATAATGAGAGATTTTAGAGTCTCGCTTGAGTCGATCATCTCCAAAATTACAAATGTAAATATTTTTCCTTGAAGAAAAAAATGTCTTCATCCCATAAAATATCTTGAATGTAACTTGACACCCTTGTCTCATTTAATATGCGTCCCGCCTCCACTCTCTCAGAGATCCACTGGTTGACGATCACACGTTGATCTGATTGGTTACAAGGTCGTTTGTGACGTCAGAAACACCAGCGATTTCAAACCGTGTTTTTGAGACTGTCTTTGGTTCAAATACTCAGCAATGCTGTCGACCTATGAACTTACACATGGTGTGTGTTAAAGCGTATTAAAAACACCACATACACACATAAACAACATTAAAAGCTGGATTTCACCACAGGGGGACTTTAAGAGTCCATGTTTTAATGAGCTTTGATGCGTCTCAGTGCACAAGCCCCAGTAAAATCATGGTCAATTTTCATATGGTTTCCAAACACAAAAGACATTTTTTTTTTAGCACATGATAAGGTCTATTTACATTAATATACACACACACAGAGAGAGAATGTAAGGTCGCAGTCTGAAGCGTGGTTATACACAATCCTCAACTATGAGAGATTTTAGGAATGATAGTTTTGAAGAGGCTTCAGTGCACGAGCTCCAGCTGGTTGGATGCGAAGGGTAAGACTCCGCTGACGTAATACGCGATGCCGAGCGAGAGCAGAGCGATGACGAGCAGCAGGAGGAGCACGCGCCAGAAGCCCAGATCCTCCACGAACTCCTGCCATGTGGTGCGGAAGCTGGACAACACGCCGTCGCTGTAGTGCAGGTGCGGGTTCAGCAGAGAGTGGCTCTCCATGGCACTGCAACACACACACACACACACATACTGTTTCAAACCCCTCTTTCTACCTCATGGACCATTGAGATGTCTAAAGGCATTGAGGTGCTGATAGTGATCAAGATATGTGGACATCGGAGTCTACGAATTGTCACACTTTTACTACGATAGAGAAACGATTGGTCCAATTGGTCAGTTCGAACGTTACAGTCACATGGTCACAAGAATATTGCAACTGTTGAGTCTTTTATTCTCTGGCTCTCTTTCTTTAGGCACTCTTTTCTTTGTCTACATTAATCCGGATACATTTGCGTTTAAATCCACACTAGCGCTTTCAGGCGCGGATGAGAACCTTTTGGGGAACGCCTGAAAACGCTAAATTCACCTTTACTGCGGTTGTCACTTTTTGAGGATGGTCCAAAAACGTATTGTTTTTGTGTGTGTCCCTTTAAATGCAAATGATCCGCTGCTCTTGGCGCAGGGGGCGGAGCTTCAACAGCTTGTGTCCCTAAACTTTCTAAAACTTTTAGCCTTTTATGTTCAAACCAAAGTGAGATGATGATGATGATGGAGAGACAACATGTCTGAATGGTTAGTTGATAAATTTATGTAGCTTACATGTCATTATCTTATAGTCATTGATTAGCACATTCTGTCTTGATAATCTATAAATCATGTTCTGGGGGCGGGGTTTATGTAAATCTTCGGGTTTGTGATGTCACTAACTCGGAAGGAAGCTTGTGTAGTTCTTCCAACCGTTTGTTGTAGTCCTTAAAAAGCAAATATCTCAGTTTGCTTTGAAATTTGAGCAATGTAACTTTGCAGATGTTGTTTGTGCTCAAACAGCGACATTATGCACTAACTAAAGTTAGAAAAGTGACATAATAATCAACGACCCCATTAAAGGGATAGTTCACTATGAAATTAATTTTTGGTATGTTTTATCTTACCTCAAGGGCATCCAAGATGTAGGTGTCTCTGTTTCCACATTTGACATTTTTAGGTTAAACCGTTCTTGTCTTTCAGTCATATAATGGAGGTCTATGGTCACCACCTCAAAGAGCATGCACAGAGAAGTCCAGATTAAACATGATTTAATGACTCGTAAATGTAAGTACACATTGATGGCCTAAGACACAAAACGAGCGGTTTGTGTGAGAAAACGAACAGTATTTATATTGTTTTTACCTCTAGTAACCACAGCTACAAAGCGCCCGCGCCCTCAGATCACCTGGACATGGCTGAGGTAAAAACAATCAAACAAACCGCTCGTTTCGTGTCTTAGGCCATCAATGTGCACTTACATTTATGAGTCATTAAATCATGTTTAATTTGGACTTCTCTGTGCTGCTCTTTGAGGTGGTGACCATAGACCTCCATTATATGACTGACAGACAAGAACGGTTTGACCTAAAAATATCAAAATTGAAAATACTGTGGAAACAAAGACACCTACATCTTGGATGCCCTTGAGGTAAGATAAAACATACCCAAATTTACCAAAAATCAAACATACCAAAAATTATTTTCAAAGTGAACTATCCCTTTAAGGTGTTTACGTGAAGGCTTTTCAGTCCGATTTCTAACGGATGGTTTGGTTGCATGTAAAGGTGGCCCCAGTAAAGGCACGTGGGGACCCATACGCTGTGGTTGTAAGGGGTGCGCCCTCACCTCTCACTGTCCGCCATGTGCATCTTCTCCAGGCTGGCGTGCGAGCTGCGGTTGAAGCCCTTCACCTCCTGCTCCTCCAGGCCCTCCAGCAGGCGAAGCGAGTCCTTGTTCACGCCGCGTCTCTTGGCCAGAACCAGCGGAGTCGCTCCGTTGTGATTACTGTTCACATATTAAAACCACATCAATCCTTTGACACTGGGACTAACGTTTAATAAAGAGTCACATGTCAGGTTTCCTCGAACCCGACCCATTGCCCTGCAACCCGTATCAAAAGCACCTGAGCAAGAGTTACTAAAGTTATTACATTCAACTACAGGTACAGGTGAGCTTGATCTGGCTATGAGCTCAACTCTACAGAGGTTCGTTCATCTATACAGGTGAAACTCGAAAAATTAGAATATCGTACAAAAGTTAATTTATTTCAGTAATTCAACTCTAAAGGTGAAACTAATATATTATATAGACTCATTACATGCAAAGTGAGATATTTCAAGCCTTTATTTGTTATAATTTTGATGATTATGGATAACACATATGAAAACCTTTTCACAATATTCTAATTTTGAATGTGGGGTTTTCATAAACTGTAAGCCATAATCATCACAATTTCCATTTCATAATATACTTTCTAAATCTAAAGACCTATCATTTTTATTTTTCACATTTACACAAGTGTTAAAAAGGTGTTCATTTTCGATCATTACATGCCTATTCGTTTTTACTTTGTCTTCATTATAGGGATGCACCGATATGAACATTTTGGCCGACTCTTTATATTTGAAAGCCGATAATAACCGATATATCGGCCGATAAATCTGAATCCAAATTTGTGTATGTATCAAATTTCTATAGCCAGATTACAAAAACCAAAGTCTCACCATTAAAAGCCATGACACAATTATGATATTTTCATTATTATTTTATGTAGCCGATATGACAGACTTGCGCTGCACATGTTGAACTGAACCGTATTTTCCTTTTTTGAAGTGATTTCAAGCAATTCAAATCCATCATGTTGAACAGTGCGCATCTGAAGTGTCTCAGCTAGAGGAAATAAGGCATTAATTATCGGCTTTAATATATCAGCTGAATTGTGTTATCAGGCCGATAACGATAACATTAAAATGAACATATATCGGCCGATACCGATATGGTAGCCGATATATATCACTCATCCCTACTTCAAGACAACAACAACATTTTGTTAATAAAAATGTGATAATGTGCAATTTATATATTTGTTGAAATCAGAGTGTTGATTATTAAATAAATTTGATTAATTAAATGATTAGCCTATGAATATTTGTTTTTTGGCAGGGAGACTTTAATATTGAACATGTCAGCTTTTGATGACATTATTAATGTGAAATCGATTTAAAAATGTGTAGGCCTGTTGACATTTTTGAAATGCAGTAGTATCTGAACATGGCGATTCAGAATTAGGGATGAAAAGCCACTGACCAGATGTCAATCTTGAGTCCGTTGGACACGAGGAACTGGATGGTGTCCACATGCCCACACATGTGCAGTGCCGTGTTGCCCTGCGAGTCGGTGGCCAGCAGATCCGCGCCGTACTTGTGCAGTAAACAGCAGATCTCCACGTTCCCCCGGGCCGCGGCGAGGTGAAGCCCGGTCCGGCCCCGGCAGTCCCGCGTGTTGGGGTCGACCCCGGACTCCAGGAGCCGCTTGCTGAGAGCCAGATCCCCGTCCACACAGGCCTGCAGCAGCGGCACCGTGGCCTGAAGAGAGTCGCTCACGAACACGTATGACATTTCACACCCGGTATCTGTGGAAATAAAAGTCATTTGACACATCATAATGTTATATTTCACTAATTCCTTCATAATGTTTCTGCTGTTATTAGGAGCAGGGCTGCCGACTCTCACGCTGAATGTAAACTAAGGACACTGTTCTCACACCACACATCCATTTTCTAGTTAGAAAATTCATTCTAGTGAGGAGCATTATGCTAAATCTATGCATTATATTACATGTTTACTTTTATATCATTTAAAAATATTATAACATTGTAATAATAACCAAATTGTATTAATTGTGTAAGAATTAGTTATTCATTTTAACCCTCATGTTGCGTTCATTTCCTGTTTACACTCTTTGGGGTCAGTATGATCCAAAACATTTATAGAGCGATTGTATAAAAATATATATATTTTAATCATTTTAATTTGACAAATGATTTATGCTGGAGTTATAGACTTATTTATTTTTGACAAATGAAAAACAAACAAAAAATGGCTCCCCATTAATTTTCAATGTGGGGTCTTTAAAAAAAATGTACATATACCTTCAGAAAAACCAAATCAAGTCCAGTTTTTGTGTGTGTGTTTAGATAGATAATGTAAAACAATCACAAAATCTTATGGAACTGAGATAAAGGGAACCATGTTTTCTAACTAAAGTTCAATTGGGATCATACTGACCCCAAACACAGATCAGCTGACAAGTTCCCTGTATTTATACAGCATTAGTTTTAAAGAGATTTGTTTGTTTGCCCTACTGTACCTGATATTTAGATAAATGAATCAATGTTGAATCAAGATCAGATTCTAATCACAAGCTTGTGAATCAAATCACTTAAAAGTTGGATGCCACGTTAAGAACTCATATTAATGGATTTTTTTTTATTTTTACATAGTATAGCCTATATTAATAATTTGTCAAACGACACGGTCACGAATAAACTGCACACTGGTGCTCAAAAATGCTTCTAAAGTACACGACAATTGAACCATAAATCTCTGTTTGTTTAGCAGCAAGTAACGTTATGTATAATGGATGCTGTATGCAAACACACATAATAGGTTAAAGCTTTATAAACTGTAAGAGTATATTAAATAAAGGTTATATAATGCTGGGAAATGTAACGTTAAATAGATTACATGGCAGTGTTTCAATGATCAAAACAAACGACTGAAAAAGCTAGCGGAATAGCATTGGCATGCTAGTATGCTAATAAACAAAAACAAACAAAACGCATGACTGTAACGAATAATACCAACTTCCTTTATAATACTAAAGAAGATTAATCAATACCTCAGATTGATTTCTTGAAGATATCTTCTGCTGCTTATCGGCCTCTGTTGATGGAAAATAGAAATGACGTAAAAAGATAGAAGACCAAAAAACTACAAGTCCCAATATTTGTTATGATCAACTAGCATTCCACTTCCGCGTCTCAGCCTCAAAATATGGTAATTGCAGTTTTTATGGCACCGTCAACTATTGGAACGACTCAGACTTCGACTACATTACCCACATTGCACCGCGATGTATTTGTATCCGATGACGGCCGAGGATGGAGGCAGGTAGGGTATTTATGGTTAAAATAAATACAAAATTGGTCTACAAAGTATCGATTAATTCAACCGACAATGTTCGGGTGACGTCTTAAGTTATAAAAGCTTCGACAAAAGTCTATTAATATCTACTAGGGATTTTTCCAGAGGAAATTTCGTAACTGAGTTTTAAGTTTTCTCATTGTTCTACAGTGGCCTGTGAATCTCTGACTTACAAATGCAGATAAATAGAGTTTGTTTATTCCACGAGTCCCTGTTGTTGTTGTTGTTTACAGTTATTATACGTCGTTGGCATTGACATCAACAAATTACCGTGGTAATACCATGTTTGTGGACATATACCATGTTTTGAAGATGTGCCATGGTATTTATAAGTATTTAAGGGTACCTCGAAGTACATTATGTTATGAACATGTAATTATTATGGTATTACCATTGCTTCATCAGGGTGACAGAAAGTGAAAGCAATGCATGATAACAATGTGTCGCAACTCTAATCTTTCCAGTTCTAGCCAAGTATGAGAATCAGTTTTCCGAGTATCTAGAAGAGCTTCCTGATGCAGACGAGCCAGTGTGGATCCTGGGAGAATGTTACAATGCTAAAACACGTAAGACATGCCAAAAGTTCATAATGCAAAATCAGTTAAATATTTCAACACATTCACTATTACTGTACTATATCACCTACCCTGCTCTAGCCTCAAAAGCATAAGATATTACTTTTTGTTTACACTTAAGGTGTCCTTCCTTATTACAATGTAATTACACAAGTAAGGACTGTGTAATATTAATAAACAACATGTGCTAACATTAAAGTTTGGTTGAGGATTTAAATATATATATATATATATATATATATATATATAATATATATATATATAATGGCTCTTTCGCTATTCTCCTGAACGTTGTATTTGCATTAATTTCATGTGAACGGAAGAGAGGCTCTCGGGAGTGTGTGTAAACGTCACATCATATAAAGTCCTTCATGTAAATATCTGTCTTGAGGCTTTCATAGACAACCTAGGAAGTCTTGCACTGCACATGTTGAACTTTACTCTCTAGTTTCCTTTTTTTAAGCGATTCCAATCATATTTCAAGCAATTCAAAACCATCATGTTGAACAGTGTGCATCTGAAGTGTCTCAGCTGGAGGAAATAATACATTATATATATCAACTTTATTAAATGAGCCAAATTTTTTTATCGGGCAGATAACAAAAAAATAACAAATGACATATATCAGCCACCACATGCATGTCATTTGTTATTTTTTCTGTTATCATGCATCCCTAGAAAATATATATTCTCAAATAAAATAAAGCACTGGATTCCCTACATCCAATTTTTTTTTAGCCGATACTGTTTATATATCGGCCAACAATAGTGTACAACAAATACACTCTAAATTGGTGTTACTTAAATCCTTCAGCTAACACTAACATAATTTCATTTCTTCCAGAGAAATCAGAGCTGCTCTCGGATGTGCGATCGCGACTGTGGTTCACATACAGGAAAAAGTTTTCTCCTATAGGTAAGACTAGCCTAATCTAGACTAGCCAGACTCATTTAGAGTGTTTTGCCTTGTTGATTACAGCAACTCTGTGATTCTATAGCAAACAATTATCAGCATTTTCAATATAGTCCAAAATATTTCTTAAAAGTTGTTCTGATCGGAAGACTTTGAAAATGATTTTATTTAGACACACTGACATCAATAATCAGACTGTGAATCTCAACAATCTTGACGATAAAAAGGCATGTTGCAGTGCATTCTGGGTGCCACCAATCAAAACTCATTCATGGCTCCCATCATGTATTTTGGTATGAATAAATTATGATCTGATTTGTCTTCATAATTTCCTTTTCCTAATTAAAAATGTTGTTTGTCACCATTGTTGAGATTCATACACTGATTCTAGATGTCTGTGTGTACCTTAAAGAAAGACTTGTTTTATCAGAACAACGTATAGGAAACCAACACCATCAGATCACCTCTTTGTTCATCTGGCTGTTCACCACTCAGTTTCAGTAGCCAAACAAAATCTAAATTTAAAAAATCTAGACTCCAAAGCCAAAATAAAGCAAACATTGATCACCAAAACGGTGACTTAAAAGTGTAGTTTTCTCCTTTAGTGATTCTGCTTGTTAACATCATGTGTCTTCAATAATGATTAATCATCACTCTATTAATCACTTAATTAGCTCATTAACTTTAACACTGCTTTAACACTCTTGAGTGTGGAGTCATTTAAACTCCCAGGAGAGTTCATTTAACACTGGAGTTTTTGTTGTGTATAAATTCTTGCTTTCCCTGGGAATTTTAAGGATGTTGTCTGTTTTGATGTTCTACTTTTCTACATGTCTGACGTGTTCTTGTTTCCTGATGTTTCGTGGTCCGCTTCAGCTGTATAGTTAAAGGTTGGCGATGTGTGTGTGACCCGCAGGAGGAACAGGCCCTTCGTCAGATGCGGGGTGGGGGTGCATGCTCCGCTGTGGACAGATGATCCTAGCGCAGGCGTTGGTCTGCAGACACCTGGGACGAGGTAAGCCAACACCTCACAGGTCGTGTAGGCTCTAAAACGGGTTACAATAATAGTGTCATTGTCGTTTTAACGATGTGCGATCTGATGTTATTGAGTATCAATATCATAGTATTAATATCACATGAAGATGCCATTTATCAGCATGGTTATGGTTACAAATGTGATTTTATGCAAGTTAATAGCAAATGTCTCCCAGACTGGTGTAGTTGCTGTAACGGGTTACGATAATATTGTAATTCTCATTACATTGACATTTAATTAACATTACATTCTAATTGTCGTTTTAGCGATGTGACGTTATTGAGTATATCCCTCACTTTATAAAAACACACCTAGAGAGTGCACACATACACTATGTGATCTATTGAAATGCATTTATAATGCACCCAATATTTAAGATAAAGGGGCAAAACTACCTTTGTATGTCTTTTATATTTATATAATTTAACATAGCTAAAGTCCCCCTTTAGTGACAAATGCCATTTCCTTGAAAAAAAATTCTTCATGCCTTAAAATATCTTGATTGTAACTCGACACCCTTGCCTCATTTAGTATGCGCGGTTCTATGAATATGCAAATGAGCCCCGCTTCCACTCACTCACTCACTTAATTAGCTGGCTTTATAAAGATATAAATGCCCATAAAAGGTACAAATCCATTGAAACTTATTGGAAAAGATGATTTCTGTGCCTGCTGTGAACTGACCACCGCACAGCATATGAAGAACATCAAAAACTTTAATAGTCAGTCCTAAACCTGTGAAGGGATCGACACAACAAACACACTCAGCAAAATACCGTCTAATTATCGTTATCAATATGTATCGTGGATAGTTCACCCAAAATAAAATGTTTGTTTTAGTGTCAGTACGACATTAAACTACTATATATAGTATATATATATACTACTATATAGTTTTAGGACACCATTAGGTCACCTGATGGAGTTTTAGGACACCATTGGATCGCCTGATGGAGTTTTAGGACACCATTGGGTCGCCTGATGGAGTTTTAGGACACCATTGGGTCCCCTTGACGGAGTTTTAGGACACCATTGGGTCGCCTGATGGAGTTTTAGGACACCATTGGGTCACCTGACGGAGTTTTAGGACACCATTGGGTCCCCTGATGGAGTTTTAAGACACCATTGGGTCGCCTGACGGAGTTTTAGGACACCATTGGGTCGCCTGACGGAGTTTTAGGACACCATTGGGTCACCTGATGGAGTTTTAGGACACCATTGGGTCACCTGATGGAGTTTTAGGACACCATTGGGTCACCTGATGGAGTTTTAGGACACCATTGGGTCGCCTGATGGAGTTTTAGGACACCATTGGGTCGCCTGACGGAGTTTTAGGACACCATTGGGTCGCCTGATGGAGTTTTAGGACACCATTGGGTCGCCTGATGGAGTTTTAGGACACCATTGGGTCGCCTGACGGAGTTTTAGGACACCATTGGGTCACCTGATGGAGTTTTAGGACACCATTGGGTCACCTGATGGAGTTTTAGGACACCATTGGGTCGCCTGACGGAGTTTTAGGACACCATTGGGTCGCCTGACGGAGTTTTAGGACACCATTGGGTCGCCTGATGGAGTTTTAGGACACCATTGGGTCACCTGATGGAGTTTTAGGACACCATTGGGTCGCCTGACGGAGTTTTAGGACACCATTGGGTCGCCTGACGGAGTTTTAGGACACCATTGGGTCACCTGATGGAGTTTTAGGACACCATTGGGTCACCTGATGGAGTTTTAGGACACCATTGGGTCGCCTGACGGAGTTTTAGGACACCATTGGGTCGCCTGACGGAGTTTTAGGACACCATTGGGTCGCCTGACGGAGTTTTAGGACACCATTGGGTCGCCTGATGGAGTTTTAGGACACCATTGGGTCACCTGATGGAGTTTTAGGACACCATTGGGTCGCCTGACGGAGTTTTAGGACACCATTGGGTCGCCTGACGGAGTTTTAGGACACCATTGGGTCGCCTGACGGAGTTTTAGGACACCATTGGGTCGCCTGATGGAGTTTTAGGACACCATTGGGTCACCTGACGGAGTTTTAGGACACCATTGGGTCGCCTGACGGAGTTTTAGGACACCATTGGGTCGCCTGACGGAGTTTTAGGACACCATTGGGTCACCTGATGGAGTTTTAGGACACCATTGGGTCACCTGATGGAGTTTTAGGACACCATTGGGTCACCTGATGGAGTTTTAGGACACCATTGGGTCGCCTGACGGAGTTTTAGGACACCATCGGGTCGCCTGACGGAGTTTTAGGACACCATTGGGTCGCCTGATGGAGTTTTAGGACACCATTGGGTCGCCTGATGGAGTTTTAGGACACCATTGGGTCGCCTGATGGAGTTTTAGGACACCATTGGGTCGCCTGACGGGAGTTTTAGGACACCATTGGGTCACCTGACGGAGTTTTAGGACACCATTGGGTCACCTGATGGAGTTTTAGGACACCATTGGGTCACCTGACGGAGTTTTAGGACACCATTGGGTCGCCTGACGGAGTTTTAGGACACCATTGGGTCGCCTGACGGAGTTTTAGGACACCATTGGGTCGCCTGATGGAGTTTTAGGACACCATTGGGTCGCCTGATGGAGTTTTAGGACACCATTGGGTCGCCTGATGGAGTTTTAGGACACCATTGGGTCGCCTGATGGAGTTTTAGGACACCATTGGGTCGCCTGACGGAGTTTTAGGACACCATTGGGTCACCTGACGGAGTTTTAGGACACCATTGGGTCACCTGATGGAGTTTTAGGACACCATTGGGTCACCTGATGGAGTTTTAGGACACCATTGGGTCGCCTGACGGAGTTTTAGGACACCATTGGGTCGCCTGATGGAGTTTTTCGGTTCCCACTGTTGTCTTTGACTTGCTCAGTTGGGGATATTCAATTTAAATGACCCATCATACCATTGATCAGCTCTACCGAACTTTGATGTCTTTTTTTTTTCAGTAATAAACAAACACTGTCGAGTTGTTTTGATTGATACTGTGAAGCAGCTTTGATACAATCTGTATTGTGAAAAGCGCTATATAAATATATTTGACTACTGTATTCACGGGTTATGATGCTTCTCTACTCCACTGCTCCAGACTGGCGGTGGGATCCAGAGAAACATCAGCCCAAAGAGTATCACCGTATCCTGAGCTGCTTCCTGGACAAGAAGGACAGCTGCTACTCCATCCATCAGATGGGTGAGGCCAGTGTGTGTACACGAGTGTGTTTGAGAGTGCAGGACAGCGCAATGGTACTACAGTCTGTGTATTGTGTGTATGTGTGTGAGTGCTGTGCAGCACAGTGGTACTGAACTCTGTGTATTGTGTGTGTGTGTGTGTGCAGCTCAGATGGGCGTTGGCGAGGGCAAGTCTGTGGGAGAATGGTATGGACCGAACACAGTGGCGCAAGTACTCAAGCAAGTGTCTTTTCTTCTTTGCCAAACATTCTTGAAAATAATAGTTTGTTGTCACACACGTTTGTCCTTATTTTGAAGAAGTGGTTTTACACATCCCACCCTCCCAACCCTAATGATCTTTATTAAAAGGGACCTGCTTTTTTAACATTTCCAACTTTTTTAAAGTCCAGTTGTAGTCAATCATTTTATAAACTAAAACTCATCTTTGATCTCCTAAATGACAATTGGCTTCTTGAAAAATTCTTCATGGCTTAAAATATCTTGAATGTAACTCGACACCCTTGCCTCATTTAGTATGCGCGGTTCTATGAATATGCAAACAAGCCCCGCCTCCACTCACTCATAGTATTCTTTGGGATGTTGCATGCACACGAGAACATCTATTTGCGCTTGTGAATGACACCATACCACAGTAGTTCCCATAAATAAGATATGTTGTCATCATTCAGTCACCCTCATAGCTTTAATCCATCAAATGAAAGCATGCCGTGACCAAGCCTAGAAAAGCACCATTTAAAAGGCTATATTTTCGAAATGTCATAATCATTTGTAACAAGCAAGTATTCATTACTTCAATGAGCTCATCGTTTCTGCATTAGATTATCACATTGTTTAAATGAATACATTTTTCGCTAACTGTGACTCATGTGCATTTCTGAAATACATATCTTAGACAGTTTCCTCTGATAATAACAGATCCCTCTATATTCTAATCTGGACTTTCAGTAAAGCTGCTTTGAAATGATGTGTACTGTGAAAGGTGCTACACAAATAAACCTGAATTAAATTGAATTGAACGTGCATTAAAAGCAAGTCACTCCAGAGTACAGCCACGCTTGTGCACGCATCACGAATCGACGGCTGTAATGCTTTGTTTTATGGGCTTCCCTCCAAATCTCTTCATAAATTACAGTTGGCACAAAATGGCGCAGCTCGAGTCATCATTACCAAAACCTCCATTTCTCAACGTATTTCTCCTGTTTTACAGGATTTGCTCCCAGATTAAATTTTTTACTTTTAACTTACAAAGCACTTCACACGTTCTCCTTCATATCTTCTAGATCTTGTTCATATACACACTCACATTTTAAACGACTTCCTTTGGGTCACGCACTTTGGTTAACTCACTTCCTGTTAAAGTTGGCTACAGTTCTAGTTTTTAAAACGCGTCCTAAAATCTGCTTAGGCTTTTATGTGATTTAATGAGTGTTGCTGTACTGATTTCATTGCTTTTATGGATTTCGTAAGGTGTCCTTGAGTGCCACTGGCATGAAAGGCGCCTATAAATACAATGTATGATAATATTAATAATAAAAAGTCTTGTCGTTTAAATGCAAAGGTTGTGGTGAACTAATGGCCAATCTGTGTTTGCTTGCAGGAAACTGGCCCTGTTTGATGACTGGAATACTCTGGCTGTGTACGTGTCAATGGACAACACAGTCGTGATTGAAGACATCAGTAAGTGTCTTTTTCTGAATAGCCAAGTCACAATTACAGGTGAAACTGGAAAAATTAGAAAATCGTGCCAAAGTTCATTTATTTCAGTAATTCAACTCTAAAGGTGAAACTAATATATTATAGAGACTCATTACATGCAGAGCGAGATATTTCAAGCCTTTATTTGTTATAATTTTGATGATTATGGATTACGAAAACCTCTTCACAATATTCTAATTTTGAATTTGGGGTTTTCATAAGCTATAAGCCAAATCATCAAAATTATAACAAATAAAGGCTTGAAATATCTCACTTTGCACGTAATGAGGCTATATAATATATCTTTTAAGTTGAATTACTGAAATAAATGAACTTTTGCACAATATTGTAATTTTTCGAGATTCACCTGTATATATATATAGTGCTTTAAAGCATTAAAATAAGTGTAAATGTTGCACAGTTCACCAGTTAGTAAACCATGTGACTTTCAGCTGTAAAGTAGAAAATGTATAACATTACTGAATATTAATAGTGTTTTAGACCACAACTAAGCAAGCCAAAGACGACAGACACGAGCTGTTTCCATCCACTTATTTTTATACAAATTTTGGGATATTGCGCAAAAAATGCTTAATGGAAATGCATAATTTCGAAAAATGTGGATAAAAAACTTGTGCGCTCAATCGAGGCAGATAAATATTTGTATCCGATTAGACGACATGGACACAATGAAAACAAATATATATATATATATATATATATATAATAAAAAATAAAATAATGATATTTGGATATTGAACTATCCAGTGGACCAATAGAATCGCAGCGTCTCTAATGTTGGTTTGGCGTTTCTGGTTTCACCGGAGTCGAAGTATGTGACCGGTATAATTGGGTGTAATTCCCTCCAGAAGCGTCTCACACACACACACACACACGAGTGTGTTCCTGAACACCAGCATCCGAACGCTAGAGAACACGACAGCGTTTACTGTGTTTCGTCTGACGCTCGACACACGATGGAGGGAAAAAGATCAACTTACATTTTTATTACTGATATTTTGTGGCAATTTCCCAGGAATTGACGATTTTGTTCTGTTGCACTTCAGCCGTTTCTCTCTACACACACCGCGGGTCTCCTTACATCGACATGTTTCTACAGTGGCACTCGCAGTTCGTCTCGATGTTGTTCTTTGTGCAAAGAAGCAAGCGAATAAAAACACTGACATAATGATGAACAAGTAACAGTAATATTCGCAGTAACGTACCGTTTTAATGAATAATTAAGCCAACCTATTTTCTTAATTAATTTGCATTGCTTAACTGGCTACTCTCTGCTGTCTCAGATGACGACATCACTTCCTGTCGGCCACTGTAACTTCTGTTGGGTGCAATTCACAACCTCACCACTAGATGCGGCTAAAAATCACACACTGCACCTTTAACTCTGCTTGTTTCTCTCTTCCACTCTTCTTGACGAGCAGAGAAGCAGTGTCAGCAGCCGCGCCGGGAGTTCAGGCCCAGGCCCGGTCCCTGTGATCGGGAAGAGGAGTCAGAGGCTCTTCATCTTCACACACAACGGCCCCTGGACTGGAGGCCCCTGCTCCTGGTCATTCCTCTGCGAATGGGCATCAACAGCATCAACCCCGTCTACATTCAGGCATTCAAAGTACGGCGCTTCTCTGGTGTTGCTGCATGATCTCGATGGCCCTTCATGCATCACGTGTTTCTTATCTTCTTTTACCAGGAGTGTTTCAAGATGCCTCAGTCATGTGGCGTTTTGGGAGGAAAGCCCAACCTGGCCTTTTATTTTATTGGATTTATTGGTGAGTTTTCTCAATCAAACGATTCGATTCTTACGCAAAAACAGCTGTGTTTCCACTGTCGGGCCAAAAGAAAGTGTGTTAATGCGTGCCAGTCGCGTTTCCACTGTCACTTCTCGGGCGAACGACGGATGACTTCATATATACCAGCTAACATCAGCATTAAAGACTTTTAATATCATTTCAGACAGCAGTGAGTGTTTGAATAACTTCTGTTTGTGATCCGATGTGGATTCTGGTCACCGTATACAGCAGAAATATTGGTCAGAGGAGAATGGGCCGACTGATTCAAGCTGATAGAAGAGCAACTTTGACTGAAATAACCACTCGTTACAACCGAGGTATGCAGCAAAGCATTCATGAAGATACAACACACACAACCTTGAGGCGGATGGGCTACAACAGCAGAAGACCCCACCGGGTACCACTCATCTCCACTACAAATAGGAAAAAGAGGCGACAATTTGCAAGAGCTCACCAAAACTGGACAGTTGAAGACTGGAGAAATGTCGCCTGGTCTGATGAGTCTCGGTTTCTGTTGAGACGTTCAGATGGTAGAGTCAGAATGAGAACATGGACCCATCATGCCTTGTTCCCACTGTGCAGGCTGGTGGTGGTGGTGTAATGGTGTGGGGGATGTTTTCTTGGCACACTTTAGGTCCCTTAGTGCCAATTGGGCATCGTTTAAACGCCACGGCCTACCTGAGCATTGTTTCTGACCATGTCCATCCCTTTATGGCCACCATGTCCCCATCCTCTGATGGCTACTTCATGCAGGATAATACACCATGTCACAAAGCTGGAATCATCTCAAATTGGTTTCTTGAACATGTCAATGAGTTGACTGTACCAAAATGGCCGCCACACTCACCAGATCTCAACCCAATAGAGCATCTTTGGGATGTGGTGGAACGGGAGCTTCATCCCACAAATCTCCATCAACTGCAAGATGCTATCCTATCAATATGGGCCAACATTTCTAAAGAATGCTTTCAGCACCTTGTTGAATCAACGCCACGGAGAATTAAGGCAGTTCTCAAGGAGAAACACAGTATTAGTGTGGTGTTCCTAATAATCCTTTAGGTGACCGTATATATATCCTCTGTCAAAATGAACTATCAAATACTAAAGCCCTGGCCCGATGGTGGAAACACAGCTAATGATTCCTATGAAAATGAATAAAAAATTGATGCTTTATCCTGGAAAGTGTATCATAGATAGAGGGATTATCATTTGTGCTTCTTCAGATGACGAGTTGATCTATCTGGACCCTCACACTACGCAGCAGGCCGTGGACTCTGAATCAGGCAGTGCTGTGGACGACCAGAGCTACCACTGTCAGAGGACCCCTCACCGCATGAAGATCACCAGCCTGGACCCTTCGGTTGCACTGGTGAGAGATCAAACTCTGTGTGCTTCCCTTCAGCCCAACCCAGTGATAAACCATGGGTCAAATGTTGGATTTTTCATGTTTTTATAAAACTGCTCTAAGTTTACAGCTGGTATTGAGATGCGTTTTTGGTCGGTCGGATCACCACTAGGCGAGGGAGACGCGTTCCCGTACACCGGTGTTTTAATCCATCTCTAACCTCTTCAGTCCTGAGTTCTTCAGAGGAGAGTCTATGAGCGAGTAAATGTGTGTTTTTCAGATCTTTCAATCTAATGGATGAAAGAAGCCCACAGTTTACATATGAACACGACCGGAGACTTTAGTTTCTGCTCTTCCAGCCTCGAGACCAGCCGAACGCTGCGAGTGTGTGTTAGAAATCAGGAATGCTGAGAGAACATTGTGTTTGATTTCCTCGTGTCTTCAGCTGATAAAGTTTAAACCCGTCTGGCTAGATCTCTATAATTCAC